TTTACTTTACAGGTGTTTTTTTAAATACATTATTGCATCTGTGAGTACTAGTGTTTCAAACTTTTCTTGATAAGTTTCTAACAGACTCAAAAATCGGTGAAAATTAACACAAAATGGTGAAAAATTTGGAGCCTTTTTGAGAAAAGTCGTTTGAGGTTTCTGAAAACACGCATTTTGAAGCTTAATATCACCCAAAACTTTTGAGATTTCGAGATACTTCATAAGAAAATATTTGAAACAATACTAAAATTGTGATAATCTACAGCGAATGCTTATAATGTAAATATCTTTTATAGTAGATTCAGCAATATCCATAGAAAAAATTACTAGCCATTGTCGAGAAAATAGCGTTTGAGCATTTCTAAAATTACTCAATTTGGATATAATTTTCACAGAAAACCTTTGAGTTACAGAGAAAATTCCTACGTCTTCATTTAAGGATCGTGTTCTCACAAATGCAATAATGTTTAAAAATCAGCGGCAATATAAATATTAACGACGAGCGGGAAAAAATACACACATTTTTGGAAAATAGAAAATACATCAAAATTACGTTGATATCACATTCAAGGCATTTCGCAGTAACTTATAAAACCGAGGAGAGCGGGCGTGGAGGAAAGGATGTGCCATAAAAGGGCATGTATTAAAATGCACTTTTAAGAACGATTTCTTGCAATGGCAAGTCGTCCTTAATAAAGCTGATATAAAAAAAAAAAGTATCATACACAACCACAAACCATTTTAAGTGAGTTCACTTCCAAAAATAATGTTATTCTTTAATTACGTTCATACAATTTTTGTTCTAATTATTATCGTGTAATTGTACATAGATCGTTCTTTTTTCTCTCTCTTTTTATTGTCCCGTATACGTACGTATATTCGGAGTAATGTACGTAGTATAGGGAAAGTTATGTAATGCTGCGGAAAACAGATTTCGAGTTTTCGATGGATAGACACGTTTGGGGTCCCCTGACATCGGGAAAGTGTTTTTTTCAAAACGTCAGTTCGTCTGTGTCGTAGCGCCGACATACGTAGGGGTTTTTTCTTCTTCTCCCTCTCCGAAATGGATGTTCTTCGGACGATCTGGCTTCACTCGAGGGGCCGCGATTTTGAAAAAGGTTCTTCAAAATTTGGGAGTGATTTTCATGAAGCTCTTCGGACATTTTCAAATTTTCTCAAAACCGGCTCCAATAATTTCTTCACATTTCTTAAAAGAATAGAGTGAAATACCACATAAAGGTAGCATATGTCAGATTTAACGGTTATCTCTGAACTTTCGGAAATTGCAAAAGTTAGAATTTTTTCCGCATCTTCCTAGAAATAAAAAATCGAAGATAAGAGGTTTTCCTTCATATAATTTGTTGTTCCTAGCGAGTTTTTTCGTTTAAGTCATAAACGTTATTTAAAACTTTTATTAGTTTTCGCGTAATATTGCGTACAATATTTGCAATAAAAAATAAAAAAAGAAAAACAAGTTTTTCTCAAATACTATTAAAATTTTTTTCTTGAAACTATTGGTAGGAAATGTGCTAAAAGCACTCTATAAGTTGGCATAAAAGCCATATTGCTCCCTCCTATTGATTTTTCAAAAATTACAAAAATATTATTTTTTTACTTGTCTCTCGTTAATATTTGTATTAGCGGCTATTTGTTCACATTATTATATTTATGAGTATATACGCTTTAAATAATGTCATAGTTTCTCGAAAAGTAAACGGTTTTCTGCGAAAATTGGCTCAAAATTCCGCATTTTCAGAAACGCATTTTTCAATAATGGCTTTAATTTTTTTCTTCCATCTTTTCGAACGGATGGTGCTTATCGAACTCTTTAATATGACCTAAAGTTCATTTGGGGGTATTTTTTGTTTTTTTGAAAATTACACAATGTAATTTATTTGATTTGTAATATCTCACACGTCGTTAATATGCAGATTGTATATGTTAGTTAAAATGCTTTAAATGACTTCTAATGAAGTTTTTCGAAAACTGAAAAATTTTCTGTGGAAAAAAAAACATCACACCTTTAAATTTCGAATCTACAAAATGGCTTGAAACGCCTTTTCTTAAAAATGACTACACATTTTTGAAAGAAAATTGCCATTTAGAGCGAATTTTACTGTTTTTTAAATATTCTAAAATATTTCCACTATAAAACCATTAGGAAACTGAAAAATTAAATAAAAAAATAAAAAATAATTTTGAGCAGTGATAGATGGCAGTTAGATGAGACCAAAGGATATAGAAGACTAAAACAGATGAGTCTGTGCCTTTCCGAGCACCACTAGTTATATTTTTATTTTAACCATTATCATCATTCTTTTGAATCTTTTGTCATAGTTTTTGGCATTTAGCTCCTCTGGGAAGTCAGAAACGAGCAAACACTCAAAATCTAGGTAAAAATAAATTCACACATTACGATGGATCTATTACGCTTCAACGTAACGTTCAAGGGATGGCCATTCAGTTACGAGGCAGTGTGAAGCTACATACACTTTTACAACAATGATGTACAAAGTTTGGAATGTTCGCAGGAGTCCAGGTAGTATGTTTTTATTTTCAATAATATAAAATGCAAATATGGCGAATTTTGTTGACTATTATAAATGTTAATCCACTGCCCAAAACCTGTATATCTGACTAGCATAGTTTTCCAAACAAAACTTGTTTGTAATGCCAAAAAATTGTAGATATAAATAATACAATTTATAATGCTAGAAAGACAAAACGGTTATCCTTTGATATTGTATTATTATGCAAGAGGTATAATCCTTTGAAAAAACTGAAATTCATTCTTGCCATTTGTAAAACCAGATAAAACACATTTTAAATTTTCTTACTAGCTTCAGGTAAAGATTTTATTTTGAGTCAAGTTCAAGAATAAATTCAATGGTATATCAAAAATAATGGATCAATGAATACATCTTAATAATCAAAATTAAAATATATTAGTTAAAACTACGTACTCTTTTTGTATTGTATCTAACAATGTGTAATTATATAATACTGCAGATTTATCCTATCAATTCTTCATCCATCTTATGAACCACAGTAAAAAAAGTGCAAGAGATTTGAATTTTCAAAAGTTCATTTTGAAAATCTGACTTGTACTCTATTTATAAGCACACATTGCTTCACTCAAGGAGAAAAACTTCATATAAAATTTCTACTGAAAATCATGGGAAGCAAAACCTTACCCTCAGATAGGTAAAACCAAGAGGTAGTTACTCGTGTATCGAGCTGCTTAATTTGGTTATGTTAATATTTAATATACAAGTGGTTATGAATGTAACAAAATTACCACTATTTAATTCACATTTATTTCAAAACTATTCTCTCTATTAAAATGAACACTTGATTTAAAGATATAATAGTGAGAAATTGATTATTAAGAAATAAGTATCTTGCTTCAATATTGAACGTGTAGCCTGACCAAAGACAGACAGACTGGCAGACCAACCAAAGACAGAAAGACTGATGGACCGACTAATGACAGATTAAATAGACCAATCTAAGACAGAGAAGGCTTGCATGTATACAGACATACAAACCAACTGGCAGTTGGGAAAAATCACTTTCAGTATCAAGATAAATGAAAAACGAATTCAGAATATACTACATATAGGGAAAAAACCTACCATTACTACCTACAATTACTACGACATTACTACCTACAGGAGCAAGAAAAATCCACCTTTTCTGTTTCAGAGTTCCACAAAATATGTTTTTCTGACAACAACTCAGCACCTTTTCTGCGATATTACATAATTAACTTTTATTAAGTAGTATATACAAGAAAGTAAAAGTGTGGACTTGCTCTTGAAATTTGGATCCCTCTGGGAAAGCTCATGGAACTGGGAGTGCTCATAAAGTTTTACATTGAAAGGTGCCTGTGAGGTTCTGAATGTTCATTTACACACCTCAAATAGAAAGAAAATACAGGCCAATCCACTTATCCATTACATTGTGTCTGTACATCACATGAAATATTTCTTCACAAGATATACCCCAATTTCCCAAACTAAAATGGAGAGAAAATTGTATTCTTTTCAAAGCCTCAAGAATAAAAAATGCTAAGAAATATGAAGAATGTTCTTTCACAAAGAATCCTTTACATTACTATTACATTACAACAAATTCAACTATTTGTCTATTCTATGCTTTCTTGTTTAACAATTATAAATATTTGTATTTAACACAACCACTCTAATGAAATTTGTAGGTAAATACAACCTGCAGAAAATATTACTCATTTTTATGTAATGTTTATTTGAACTCCTAAATCTTTGAAATAAAGTGGCTTACTTCACAAATGTAGCATCTAGATTCACTGCTCTTGGAGAATTAAGATGATAACTTCGGGGTAAACTAAAGAATGATTCCAACATTGAAATATCTAGGGAAGAAGTCAGCACACTATGTAAATGCACAGACAGAAGAAATGTTTCACTTCCAATCTATTACTGCTTTTCCTACACCATTCGAAGCAGTGCACCACTTGAACACAATTGAAGGACTTAGAGCAGTAGCAATATCTTGATTTGTTATCATTGAATAACTTCACCAAGCCTTCCACTATTTGTAAACGTACATATGTAAATATCTTGATTTTGGTGAAAGTGTAGCTCTTCTTGTTTCCATATATGTTCATATTTATGAAAAGCTTGGTGCAGTAACAAGATGCGACACATTTCTACGAAAATCAAAATTTTAATGCTTGCCAATACCAGGAAGCTTGCTGTGACCAATGTGGCTTCCCTTGTTACCCCTTTTATTTATAAACACAACAAATGAAGCCAGTAAATACATTGCAAAAGTAAATTGCACGAGAAAAATGTATTAGAGACATTTATTCCCAACAACATTTGCTTCTGGATTTGTTGCATTTGTTCAGAACGTACTATCAAAAGTGATTCTTCATTCACATATACATGTAATTACTAGATAAAAAAGAACAACCAGGGCCGGCATTATGTGAAATTGCTTTCACAACTTTAAAATGATCAACAACCATCTACAATCATGGAGCCAGAGAGTGGTGGTGGTGGTGGTGGTGTGGGTGGTGGTGGTGGTGGTGTGGTGGTGGTGGTGGTTGGGGTGGTGGTGGTGGGTGGTGGTGGGCGTGGTGGTGGTGGTGGTGGTGATGCTGTAATGGCATATGTTCTTGATACCATGTGGTGCTTCAATTTTTGGTAATGATCTTCAATATTCAACCATAGTAGGCTGTAAGGAGGGAACAATAAAGTTCCGAAACATTGAAAAACAAGAGTTCCTTTAAGTGACCAACCCCATTAACTTTTCTTATAAAATATCCAATATATGTTCTTCTGAGAGTTTAAATGTTTCTGAGAAACATTGGCTCCTTTATAGGAAGATTATAACTACTCTATTCTCGTAAAAACAAAAAACCAAATAAACACCAATCTACTTTTCTATTATACCACTATACACAGATCATTTTAACTAACTTTTCCCTTTCATCCTTTTAAAACTAATTTTTCCGGTCTTTAAAACTTGTTAGTTGAGAACAACTTTCTTTTTATAAATAATTCAAGGTGATTTCATCTTTAATATGTTTATTTAACTGATTAACAGCTTCAGTTGGTTAGCCATCATCATTTGGTAAGTAGTTGAATCTTGTCTTTTACACAGATCTAAAGATAACTAGGCTGGTAAGAAAATAACTAGTGGTGCTACAGAATGGCACAAACAGGCTTTATGGTCTTCTCCATCCTCTTGACAGCTGCCATCTATCGCCATCCAAAGTACATTTTTTTTACACTTTCTCAAATTTCTGTTTCCTAATAGAAGAACCAAAACATTACTTTAAGGATATTAAAGAAGAGTAAAAACTCATCATAAATGGGAATTTTCATTATAAAAATTTGGAGCCGTTTTAAAAAAAATGTCATTTAAGTGTTACTGTAAGTGTGAAATTTGAATCTCTTTTTCACAGAAAATTCTTCAGCTTTTGAAAAACTTCTCGTTTTTGTCATCCAAAATTTTGTGAATATAAAGGCAAGGCAATGGCAGTGGTTTATGGTGACCAACTTTACTTTCTGTTCAAATAATTTCCCGTAAATCTCAATGATACAACTTATTTCCTGAGAATATTACATTTCCTAATATGAAATTCACTCTGATAAAATAACGGGTTGCAAAAACTGAAAACCAATTTAATATATTTTAATTCATAATAATAACCGTATTCTACTTGCACCTTCACAAAATGCACACACCAATTTATAATTGATGGTACCAAAGAGGTCAACAAAAATTAAGACTAATTTTGGCCAACTATGTATAGTTCATCTACAGGCACATCATGTGACAATAACACGAAAACCTGCATGGAAACAATCGTACTGAACATTTTATTCTCTTAAATAGGAGTTTTCTCCATATCAACCCCATCTAAAAACTGAAATATATTGACAAACCTCACGTAAATTCCTTAGTTAAAGTGAGTATGAGTAGAAATGGAAATGTATACTTCATTTTACAAATAAGTTTTTAAGAAAAAAACTATAAACATGGGAAAATTATCCATATTTTTTATATTTTATTTTTTAAATTTTACATCTGAACGACCTGAAGCAGTAATAATATAAGCCACACCAGCCACAGTGAGCCCTTTGTATTCATAAATATTAATATTTCGTTTCTGGTTGATGTGTGCCTCACGTCGCTACTGCCCCAAAGCCTTTCTTAGGCATTGGCAAGACATCCATAGTAACAAGAAGTGCCACATCTTCACCAAAATCAAGATATTAATATTTCCGAATACAAGAGGCCTGATGTGGCTTATCTTCTTTCTGTCTGAAGCTCTTCATTTCATTCTCTCTTTCATGTTCACAAATTCAAATTCTGCTACTACAATATTTTTTGTACCTCAAATACAAAGCCAGTCAAATCCCAGGGGTTTGCAATCCAACTGGAAACCACTTTTCTAGAACACCTATAATCTCATTTTATAAATTGTAATACAAAGTCTATCATTTAGATATTCATTATTCCTCACCATATACATATACAGAAAATGGTAGGTGTAAAGCAGAAAAGGCTTAACCAAGAAGAAAAAAATCCAAAGATTACTACTGAATAATGAACTCACCACTGAAAGGCGTTGAAGTGGAAATATACCAGTCCTTGCCCATATAAAAAAGAGGCATCTTTCCAATAGTCAGCTTTAAGGCCAAAAAATTTTTGATATGCAGACATTGCTGTAAAGTAATACAATCTTGTACTACACATTGACTAAAAACATAGTAAAATAAGCTAAAGATTCTTTCATCTGACAATTAGGATTTCTTTCTTTTCCAGCATTCTACTTTTTTCTTCTTTGGGGAGAAATACTTTCTTTGCTGCATTATGCAAATCACAATTTAGCAGTTTTACAAATACTATTGTACAATTGTAGTCACAGTAATACCTATCTAACTTTTATCAAAGACTTATTGACACTATTTCTAATGTTTTTTTCATATTTAATAATTCAGAGATTTGGAAATAAATACTCTATGTTCTAAAAATACAAAATTTTGGAATTTCAATAAAATACAAACAATAATACCTTTTGCATAGTCTTCCAGGAGAAGATGGAAATGACCCAACTTGCAATAAGTTTTAGGGTCAATGTTAATTTCTTTATCTGCAGATGCTTCGTTTTTTTCAAAATGTTTTGCGCATTCTTTTTGTTTTTGCGCTTGAACAAGCATCTGCTCAAGGTACTTGACAGCCTTAATAACAGAAAATAGACATTAGTGATTAAAAAATAAAATTACAAACCTTCTAACCAAACCAAATAAATAAATTGGAATTAGTTTTTTATTATTTCAATTTATTTAATTAAATAAACATCTGAAAAGAAGGTAAAATCTTAGAAAGTTCAAACTAATTAATTAGAAGAATTTGTTTTGCAAAACGTTCTAACGTTAAGGCAGAAATAAAACACCTTCTAAAACATATTTTTATTTTATTACAAAAACAAAAAGTTGAAAACTTGATTGAAAATTAAAATCAAAATAAAATAACGAATGTTTGTCCAGTGGATCATTATAAACTGACGCTGAGAGGCATTATGGGAAGAAGATCAGTATAATATATCATATTCAATATAATAAAACAACAGTAAAACTAATAAGTGAGACCCATGACACTAAAGGCACTTCTAAATACAGATGAATAAAGATTTACTGATTCAAAGCTTGTGGTGTACAAAGGTTTAGAAAATAAGATATTTAACTGTTGATCTATCTTGCTTTTGAAACGCTGCGCAAACATTCCATGGAATACAGAAATTCTTTGTTTGAAAACTACTTGTTGCAGATTAAAATGTTCAATTTCGCTTTTACAATACAGTCTGATCAATTTCAAATCCACTGTAAACTCCAGAGAAACACAAGTAGGCCTATTCATTCAGACTTAGACTCTCAAAATGCTATGGCTAACATTCAACTTAAATATAACATGGCCCTTAATAAGGAAAAGGGAATTGTAGTTACATATAGTTCTCATTCAGAATAAATATTACATTTCTTATTTTTATGATTGGTGGGCAAATAAACAGAAATAACTGTTGGAAGTTAGAATGTAAAAATAGCATGGTGAGGGAAGGGTAATTTTCAAAATAAAAATAAATTTACACAATGGGTACAATAATTGTACTAAGAAACATGCTTGAAAATAGAATTTTCAGCGTAAATTCTAGGGATTTCAAGAACAGCTTTCAAGAGATAATGAGATAATTTAATAATTATACAGTACTGAAGGCTTCTGCAGAGTCAATCCATTAATTGTTCAGATGACACTGCATCGAAGACTGATAGGACATTTTATCCATCTTATTCCTCGGGGCTGAAATGCCCATGATACTGACAGGTTACTGCACTTCAGCCCTGGGGAAGATGGTTGAAATGTTGGCATCACCCAGTTAGCCACAATCATTTAATAATTATATTCCATCATGGGGCTTTCAAAAGCATGTTTGGCTACAAAAGTTATTTATAAAATAAATCTAGATTCGTGGCTGGCACCTCATTGTGGAAATATCCAAAGATAACTTCAGGGATGAGACAAATCTTTTGTTACAATGATTTATTTCACGCACACTTTGGAAATAAATCATTCCACAATCAAGATACAATACAAACTTTACACAAAAATGCTATGAAACATTACATCAGCAAATTTTGAATCCACATTCCACTTTTCTAGGAAGTTAAATGAAAAAATATAGAATTCTATTATATTTTGGGGGCAAGGTCAAAATTGTCAAATTTGAACTTTATGTGAAAGGGAGAAAGGAACAGCAACACTTACAGTCATTTGACAAAACATGAGACCCATCTCAGGCTGTCCAAGAGAAATAAGCTGATAGATTAGAATTAGTAAATGAAAAGAAGAAAGACCATGATGAAAATGAAAAAGGTAATAAGATTATCACAGGAAATATAGTTAATAAGTTCTGTATTCAATAGATTCCTGGAAATTTGTATAAAGGATGAATTAAATGAAATGATAGGTTCTACAATCATATTGCTACCTAACCAATATATATTTTCTAATCTTTTATCAATATAGTACGTTAAGTGCAGGCATATATGCAGCATTTACAAATGATACTTTAAAATAACATGGCAATTCTTCATTACACAACACAAATCTTTTCTCACAATAAATTGTTACCCCCAAACTAAAAAAAATTCAATTTTTCTTCATTTACTTTAAATGTGTCACTTACAATTTACTCTTCAGAAAAAAAGCTTTCTCACTAACCTTCAAAACCAATTCCTTCTTTTTGGTTTGCTCTGGGGAACTCAGCTTCAGGAAACCGAATTGACGGCTAGAAAAACAGGTTTCATTAAAATGCTTTATGCAGATACAAAACATTAGACAAACAGTAAAAAACAATATTATCCCTTTGAAGAGAACACAAAACACTCATGATATTAAAACAGAAAGTAACTGTATTTTTAAAATGGACATATCAATAAACGGAACAATTTCTCAAGGACATTTTAAATATACAAAACCGGAATTCAATACACAAATCAAACATGATAAATTATTACTTTCCCTATGTTTTTTATTATTATTATTATTATTATTATTATTATTATTATTATTATTATTATTATTATTATTATGTATATCCTTCACTCATAGAAACACAATACAACAGAATTTTGAAACTTAATGTTTTTGAACAGCAAATAAAATGATTAGGACTTCAAAATTTCCTACACAATGGATTAAAATATATTGATAAACAAAATAGATGAGTGTATTTACAATGTATGACTTGCAACTTGAAATAGATAAAACATTTGCCAGCAATTTTAATTACAAGATAATATTAGCAAGGTGCCAGGTTCTAATGACAATCAGCATTCAAACACCAATTTTGAACGATGACCCATATTTAAAAATTAAAATTCCAAAGCAAGAACTAGTAAAGAGTTATGCACAACTGTGCATAAAAAATATTGTGCATTTTTAATTATTCATCATAATTTCTAATTGTATGGAAGTATTATTAATTATAGAAACCAAACTTTATTCATTTATATAATAATTTGTATTTTTTGAACAGCCATGTTGTTTACCTGTCAAGTTCCGACAATATTTGCAATTCTTGGTTAGTTAGGTTGATTCCATCTGGCTCTTGAGCCATCCTTTAAATTTCTACTCGACTTCAAAACGTACAACCATTTATTGCTAACTTGAACCAGCTCTTTTACAGCTCACTTTCACTCAGTTTCACTTTCATGACACGCATTAACGCGCCCGTATTTTCATTCATACGCTTTTCGCGGCATTTACATTACAAAACGCTAATCTACGGAAGATTTAGGCTACGGCAGTGAAAGTAATAGCATCAGTGTTTCACCGACAAATTTATGTTTCCATTCGAACATAACACAAGTATGTGTTATAAACTATGTTTCCACTTTCTTGCGACCATAGCGCAGGTAAGGAGAACGTATACAGTGAAGGAATTTATTTTCATATCCCTATGAAATTCTCGATAACGCTTCCCTCGACGGCAAATCCTCACAGCTAATACAACATACTACTAGACTGATACGATGTCATTAACCTACAAACCGGAGAAATCCTGAACTTGCTTCACCAATGTGTCAAACACACGATTACGCGATCTCGGGTATACTCCACACCTCTCACTTTACTGCAGCCATGCGTCTATTGGCTACGCTAAAACTACATAGAACGAGTGATGGTTCTTTTGAACTCGTTGAACGTTACATACATTCTTTGAGAAATTGTTGGGGGTCACCCAGTGTACCATGTAATATACTCTGCGTGTATGTAATACTATTTAGGGCATCGCGTCCTTTCACCTCCATGCAATTCCTGTAGGTCAGCCGTAGGTGAAAAATTATCGTCTGAGCGCAAACAACCGATTTGTAAGCGCTCCATGCATCTAAATCTTGTTTTTATAACACAAACGGATTACACTTATTGTAAATAATGTAATATCGTACATACAAAACATTGAGACCGACTTCAATAACCACGAATAAAATAGAGTTAATGCTCCTCATAATCGCTTAATATAATAAAGTTGATGCCCCAGATATAAGGTTGGAATGCTGATATCCGCATTAGTCCTACAACTGCTTCTGGACTATCATACACTGTTCAGGACCAAGAATTACTTAAATGTATTAAAGGCCTTTAAAATCGGATGAAACTGACATAAATGAAAATAGAAAATTATTTACATCCGAAAATAAAATTCCAAAAATTTGTCGTGAAATGTTGCCTTTAAAGAAGAAAATAAATGAACTAGTTAAATAACTTGCATATTCAGCATGTTCTAAAAAAAATTTTTTTTAATAAAGAAAGAAAAAAAATGATTAGGTAATTTTTAGAACACTGAATTTACTAACAGTTATTTAACAATTTCCAACAACTTTTCTCATATAATATTACAAATAAAACCAAAACACCATAAAAATGTTTGTTTTTTTTAAAAGGAAAATAAACAAAAATGAATTATCGCACTGATATTATTACTTCAATCTGCAAATCATGAGAAACTTCATTTCATACCTTCACTCATTTCTCTGACACATTAGGCCTATATCGCACCTGTGGTAGAATCTCTCCTTTGAATATGAATGTTATGTTTGCATTTCATGAAGCAGCAGTACCAACTCATGATGGTGGTATTTTTATTCACTATTATCACAATCTCAATCTTGTTCTTTATTTTTGGTATTCTCTTCTAAACAAAGTTGCTATACTCAAAACTTTTAGCCACTGCTTACAAAGTTAATGCATTTGGAAATGTAAGTATTCATGTCAAACTCATCAACCTCAGGGTTAGGATTAATATTGAATAACATGTATCTAAATATATAGACACATATGGACTAAAAATATTCAAAACATGGAGTAAAATATGAACAAAAATTAGATTAATGAAAATAATGCTACAAGTAAATGTTGACATTACACAAATAAAATTGTTAAAGAAATTAATTTTAATATTATCCGTAGAACAAGATTTAATCATGAATTAAAATAGGCTCAACATTGTCTTGTTGCTAAAAGTAAGTTCCCAATTCTTTTGTGATAATTTGCTATTTACAAAGCAGTGAGTTATAAAGCATTGTTTTATGCGTTCAAATGTAGAACAGCCCATTTTATTCGTCATACATGATTGTAATTGTATATGTGACTCAATAAATATTATGATTATGATTATGATTATGATTATGATTATGATGATGATTATTATTATTATTATTATTATTATTATTATTATTATTATTATTACTGTTCATTTTCACAGCTTTCTGGTACATGTTCCAGGAGTCACACAGGTATTTCTACCAAAGCATGATCTCCATAATACAATAGTTTTACAAGCGAATTAATTTTAGGAGCTAATTCTACAAGTATGAACACTTAAAATTAATTTATTATTATTATTATTATTATTATTATTATTATTATTATTATTATTATTATTATTATTATTATTATTATTATATTATTATTATTCCTAAAACTGCTCTACATCCAAAGTAGTAATGAAGTCAACCTTGAACCTTGAAATATATTGTGAAGTTAAATTCGGATCTCTTACTTATCCTGATTTACAGCTTTACAGCCCAGCTTACAGCCCAAAAAGTTCAAAATAATCTTCCAAGAATAATTTTAAAAGACTATCGTATGGAAGGAAGTAAAATGTTGAAAAATGGAAAGAATATTTTCCTTCAACAGAAAAATATGCAACAAAACAGGAAATATGAATAATAAAATAGGTTTCAATTCACTTCAAAAAGCCTGATCGTAATTATTGAACAAACAAATATTTAATTACTTGCAAATTGTAGCCCCGGTTGTTGTCATCATCATCATTACTACTCGTTGTTAGGCATGTTGCCTGTTTCTGAATCCCAGCAAAACGTGGTGACTTTATAGTCCTCACAAATCTCATCTGCATGGCTTCCAGTCTTTGTTATCAGTTTTCATTGTCCAAATTCCTGATCCATATATGACAATAGGTTTTGATATTATATTCTGTATTCTTAATTTGATCTCTTGAGTCATCTTCCTTCTGAAACGACATTTGATTAGTCCATTTATTCTGTCATATTTCTGCGTTTTGCTTATCTATGGATACAGATCCTGTCCAATGACCTTGCTCATATTATAACATGTGGATACTTGTTTAATTATTTACCTGTTATTGACAATTTTGACCCCTCTGATTTCTTTCTCTTGATATGACAGATTTTTGTCTTGCTTGTGGAAATATTAATGTTATGTTGCAATGCTGTGTTGTACAATTCATACACTGCAATTTTTAGGTTGTCTGCCGATTTCATTATTCTAACTACATCATTTTCTCACAGGATTGTTTGGAGCTTCTGTCTTTTTCTGTAATTTATTTCCCTCTTGATTTGTATCCATCCCTTGATGTGGTTGGCATATATTGAACAGAAAGGTGACAGGTTCTAGTCCTAATCCTCAGTTGCGAGAGGTTTTAGCACATTTCCATTATTAATAATTGTGCTCATATCCAAGTCTGCATAGAAACTTAATTCCTTTCCTTATTTCTGTTCTTTACTCTCCTTGCAGCAATTTCCACCTTTAATTCTCCATTTACTCTATTGTACAGCTATTCATTGAATGAATTCACAATGTTCTGTTTACAAATGTTAATCAATAAAATTCGTTATTTCAACATAATTTAATAATGCAAGTTTATCAAAAGTTTTTTATCATAATTTGATTTTCAAGAATTTTTCGCTACCACTACATCTAAATTTGAAATAGTTCAACATGATATTTTATCAAGAAATTCAATCAAAAATTTTTGTCCTTTTTACAAAATTTGCAATCCCAAATGGTCTAAGTATTGCAGTTGCCGAGCCATTTCCTAATAAAGATTATTTTAATAATGCTACAATTTAAATGAAACAAATATAAATAGTATTAAGATTCCTCCATCAACATTATCAAATTTTAGTACTGAAAATCAGACTAATATATTACTACCAACAGTAGTCATGAGATCTATAAAAAGAATGAACCACACGAAAGACTGAATCCGCAGTAAACAAATATGCAATTAGATCAATATTCGAAATACAAGAGAAAAATTGAATAGGGTATTCATTAAATTTGTTAAGTATATTAGAGTATTAATAAAAAGGTTTCTCATTTAAATTGTATTTGGTGCATGGAAATCTTAAAAGTAAATGTTCCAAAGCATGTTTATATAAATATATATTTGTAGTAGTTACATGCTACTAAACAAAGATAATACTATGTACTGCTCTGTTAGGAAAAGGAATCCCATAATAAATTTCATGGACAATTTTTCCAATTCTTCAATAAATTATTTTGACTGAATATGATTTTATTCATTTCGGGTAATGAATTAAAATAAAATAGGGAAAAAGGAAAAGGTACTGATAATGCAAGCAATATTTTTAATAGCCTTTATTGTGAAATCATTCACATAATCACTGTGCATTAAACATATGCAGTGGTTCACTATTACAACTGTTCTAAGTCAGTAGCAAGTTTTAAAATAATTTTAAAGATGTCTACTGGCAAAAATAACATTTCTTATTCCACATTCATACTTAGATTTTCCTAGTTAATAATAACATATTTAAATATTCTCTAATCAAGCTTTTTGACTTAGGCTATCACATGTAACATGAACTAGAAGATACAAGATTGACAAAAAATGTAAGTACAGATTTTTGTTAATGCAATAAAAATCAACCAATTACAAATCAACAGTCTTAGATTCTGTAGATGTTTTATCGTTTGACTGGGTTTTGGTTTCATTAACTTCTTTTGACTGAGACAATCTAGCACATGCCTTTTTATGCATAAACCAATGTAGACGCTGACATTCTCTGTCACAGTATTGCACTGCTTTACATTTTGAACACTTCTTTGGTGCACCCTCCTCCCCACAAGTCCAACAGGTAGCTTTAACATCCACAAAACCTCTCTGACCATTTATGGTTGCTGATATGACACAGTAAGCTGAAGGGGAATCATGCTGAGCCAAACTCGCAACCATCTGACGAAAAACGGTACTTTCTCTGAAAGGGAATTCTCTGACACATTCTCTTAGAAAACGTTCTTGGAACTCGGGATTACTATTTTCCCCTCGACCACTTTTAAGCATTTGTTTGGCAAATATTTCTACTGGTTCCAACTTCCTTTCCTCCTTTTTCTCACTTTCGTTTGTTTCCTCTGATTTATCCCCTTCATTTACAGAGTCTTTCTTTCCATTATCACTTGCTTCTGTTCTCTTTTCTTGAGCAGCTAACTGCCTCTTCCGACATTTGTTAATTTCTGCAACAATACAGCTTAAATAGTGAAATTTAAATGCCATTACTTCATTTGTTTCAAATCCTCTCTTCATTTCTTTCTCCCGCATTAACTCTAAAACTTTTTGAACATTATCCAACTTTTCACAGAGAGCTGGAGCCTTTTGCAAATTTAGAGCAACACGAACTGGATGAACATTCACCTGAAAAAAAAAAAGAAAAGAAAAGATATTAGGTTAATGCACAGAATAGTAGTGAAATAGAAGTATAATTTCTCATACTAGGATAATTACAATATTCTAATTCTTCTTAGAATCGCTGCCTTTAGAATAAACACTATTACTGACTTTATTGGATTTTTTAACATCATAAAAACTGTGGTCAAATCAGAAATTTCTGTTTTAACATATTAATATAAAACCTGACTCAAATAAATGGGAGGTACAGGTTACAATTATCTACACCAAATATATTGGAAGTTTTTTAAATAAGAATAAATGCAAATATTTGTGATAAAAACTACTTGGGGCTTAGGAGAAATTTTTCAATTTTTGTGAATGAACTCCCAGAAATTTATTGAATCCTTGATGAATTACAGTAACTTCTGTATTAACAAAATAACTTTGTGGTACCAAACAGTTTTGTTTTTAGAACTGGAAAGAAACACAATTCTCAACAGTAGGCAACTTCTAAAACAACAATTCTACCAATCCACATAATTTTTAGACGTTCTTAGAATTTGTTAACACTTTCCAGAAGAGTTTTAATGCATGCAAGGCAATGGCAAGAAATAGTTTTGTTACCACAACAAGTCCTTATATCATTACTACCCTTTTATTAAGTAGTTATACAAGAAACTATCTGACTAGACGCACACACCATTGTAATTGTACATGGCTTAACAAATATTATAGTAATAATAAATAATAATAATATCATCATCACAAATATTTAGAGATATTTTATAAATACTTATAAATCATTGTTTCAAAATTGAAAATAGCTTCTTTTTCTTTTGTCAGCTCTCCGGCACTATAGTTTTGCCATGGTTTCTTTCATTATGGTAGCCCAATTAGTGAAAATTGTTTAATACTGTATACAAATATCTCAAGCACGGCTGTAGACCTCCACAATTTAGTATTACAGGACCAGTATTGTTTGAGAGTTAACACTCTAATATTGCTACAATGATATTAAATTACAAAGAAAATCAAATGATCTCTAATTTTACCAAGGAAGATTATATCTGTACATATTCCTTCCCTTTAATTAAAATTAATTAAATTCCTTCCCTTTTACATTTTTTCCTTGTTTTTTTCTGACCACTCATGCTACAGAAGACTGCTAAATTTCATAAAAAATATAGTAAAAGGTTCAATTGAGTCTTATTTGATAAATACTATTTAATTAACTTGGGCCTCACCTGTCCCTCATGTTCCCTGTACTTCCCTATGGATATGTCTCCTACTCATTTCTTGCATGATCTCTGTACATTTCCCGACATGTTAATCTGGACATTATACTGGAATATAATTTATGTTGTTACTTAAGTTGTTGTTGTTGTTGTTATTGTTACTTAAGTTATTGTTGTTGTTGATGTTACTTAAGTTATTGTTGTTGTTGATGTTACTTAAGTTGTTGTTGTTGTTGATGTTATTGTTATTGTTATTATTATTATTATTATTATTATTATTATTATTATTATTATTTATATTTATCATTTCATTTCATTTTAAATAAGTGTCTATTCCGCAACCTCCAAATAATACACTGTTTTAAATTAGATCATTTGTTTTAAAAGGTAAATTATATATCTCCAAAATGGAATCTCAACTCCAATTTCTAATATGTTTATGAAGGGGGGGGGGGCGGTTGGTGTTGGGGGGCGCTTCCAAAAATGTAATAGAACATTTTAAAAAAATTTTATGTTGTACATTGCGGAAAATGAAATTCACATTCCAATTCGGGCATAAAACTCAGTTTTAAGAGCCTAGAATGAATCGTATAAAGCAAAGTCATTTACAATAATAATAATAATAATAATAATAATATTTTATTGAGTTATATAAGAGGGTGACAGCGCAATAGTGGCCTATCCCACATTTTTAAGAAATTGCGTTCTCTGTGTTAATCACATCTTAATCTCCCTGACTTCAACGTGTAACAGTTTCAGCATGTTGGCGTTGATAGTTTTCAAGTTATAATTACAAAAAGAACTATTGCACTCAGCTCATAGAAATGCTTACGATTACATTTCTTTGTGCAATAGTGGCCTAAGTATAGGCGATGCTGTTTTACACAAGATGTAATCCACCACAAATGTTTAATCAGTGGTCATTCTTACATAATATGAAAACACTTACAAAAGTGTTTCATTTTGCCAATAACTTCATCAGCCATTTTCTCCAAACACAGTATCTGGGGATAGGCCACTATTGCGCTGACACCCTCATATACAATTACAACTGTGTATGACATATCAATATGATGTCTCAATGGTGAAGAGAGTTGCAGAAGAACATGTGTTTCAATTTGCCAAAGTCAAATCTGCAGCCATTATATTCATCTTAAATGCCTTTGATGAGGGGTAATTTCCTCTCCAGCAATACCATTCTTGGTGTTTTGTGTTGATAGTTCCTTGTAAACAGTACAAAACCCATCATCTTCACCGAGTGATACATATAATGGGGATACTATTTATGTTTTAATGGTGGAGAGGCATACAATGACATATGAGAGAGAGCACATCATACCTGCATAATGAACTTGTGCAATAGGGATGCAAGAGCTGGTGGTAATTTTGGTTCAGTTTCTAAACCATGAGTCACAGTATAATAGTCAACATCCCCTTTTGGAACATGATTGTTTATTACTGCAACACACTTGTGATTCCCTATTAAAACAAAGTAAACACATGTAATCAAGAACATAGAAAATAACCATCAGTTGTGTTACAACATGCCACAGGATCCCATGTCAAACAATGCTTTGATTATACTGAAAGATCGAAATTTCAAATAATTCAAACAATATTTTCAGGATTTTGAAGATATGTGCATTTGTAAATCTGGATTATCTTTAGGTTTTAAGAAAATCACTTTTACATAGCTGAAGGTGTTTTATATAGCTGAAAACAATGAAATCCTAGAACAAAATTTGAAACCTTTTTTTTTCTTTAATGTTGAAAACGCTTCAAACTCGATGTATGTAAACAGAGGTAAGTAAAAAACGAAAACCAAACACTTCAAACATTTCAAACTTTTCTTTTTTTTGGTCAAAGATTCCCCTTCTACCTGTTCTCTGGTAACTTTTCAGCACACTGAAAGTATCTGTTACCAGAGGTTTTCTTATCTTCTTCATATTTAATAAAGTTTTTGAAGACCAGATTTTGTACAATGCTCTTTTTTGAATTCCTCGGTTCTTTATAAGTCAATATAGTTTGTTTTCTGTTTCCTAGAGCAATGCCATTTTAACTGTCCACATGCTTTTTAATCATAAGTCTGTTATAAACCGAGTGCAAAATATAGTCACATTCATCAATGTGGTTCTTGTGGGAAATAAAACCAAAGTTGACTGAATTATTTAAAAAAAATTACACATGAAGATAATTCGACTCTTCATTCCCCGATGTCTTAATAATAGAATTTACAGTTTATCAGTAGGGGGAAGATTTTGATGACTTACAACATTGGCAAAAATGATCAATAAAGTCCTTTAAAAATGCCCTAAAAACAAAGAGAAATGACAAAAATTTGATCAAAACCACTTCAGATGAATAACTCGAGCTGTTGGATATGCTACTGAAGTAATAAATACTTCTTCCTTTCGTTCAAGTAAACTCCACTTGCAAACTTTGGGTTTGAACTGTTCTTTTAAAAGAAAATCTCTGCCTTTATGAATCACGAAATCGGCCGAAATGTCAATGGCGCCGATAAAAGTCACAAGAATCTTAGATTACATAGTACTCACAACGGTTGACAGTATAATACATGAGCGATAAAATTTAATAGGCTATTCAGGAATTCTGTGGTGAACATTTCTTGCTCCTCATATTGTTTGTGGCTAGTACCATTAAAATGATCAATAAAATCAGTGAAAAATGCTGTAAAAATGATAAAAAATGACCTAATAGTTCAAATCAACAAAAAAATGCAAAAAAATGACATAAAATTAATTTCTATACTAAACAGTATCATTCTGAAGTGGAAAAAACAACAACACCCACTAAAAATCTGTCCTCTACTTATCAGTGTATCTTAGTATGCCCAGCAGACACACTTCAACATTGAGCTTCTTAAGAAGTGTTCTAGCAAAAATATTAATACAGAAACACCAAACCTTTTTAGAATAATTTCTAGTATACAAGAGTTATTATGCCACCTCTAAACATTTCTTATCATTACTAATCTATAGAATGAAATTACAAGGAACTTTACTGACATATACAGATAAAGAGAGGGAGGGAAAAATTGAAAAATACACTGTTCTGTATGAATTATATTGTTTTAAAAAGAACAAAAGAAAAATGTTATAAATACTTAATTTAAAACAAATACAGTTTCGCCTGGAACAGATTTCCTTTGCAATTCACTTCCTGTATATTACTGACTCATAATACTATCTGCTACTGGCTGTCTTGCACGTGTTGCAATTGGGAAAGGGGATATTGAAGGTTGTATCAACATCTAGGTCATTGGCAACCACTATTGCTTTTAACAGTATGGTAACTGTGAAGTTGACATAATATGGTGATAATAGGAGGTGAAAGGATGAACACAAATACAACCATGCCCATGGTGGGACTCAAACCCATGATCCTTTGGCCCAAGATCGCTAGAGCACTACTGCCCCAATGATCTTGGCCCGGCTGTTGCATACTTTATTCATCCTATGACACTTCTCAGGTTTTCGATGCCCTTACTTTTGATATTGCTGACTATATTAAGCATACAATATTCATATTTTTCACTAGAAAATCAAAAACAGTAATGACTTGTACAGATCATAGATTTAAAGCACAGGTGGAATTCTCCACTGTTATTAATAAATATCTACTTTGAATTGTGATACGCCTATACTTTTTCAAGAATATCTTCTCAGTGGTTGATAAAAAGCTCCAGTATAGAAAAATATTGGCACATGTCCTTTTAGTGATCATCTGCAACATGCCTTGTATGAAGTTTCTATTTGAATTGCATGGCATGAACTGTGTAAATACATCTAGTTTGCAATGGGAAAATAGCTGCTAATCAATTCTAGTCTCCTAATTTAATATACAAACAGCACACACAAACCTAGTTTCTAAATGAAATCTTGTTAAATGTCTGATACTAAAGAAAAATATTTTTTTAGTTCAAAGCAGCTCATTAACTTCTGAAATCTCAAAATATCTTAAAAGCTCTAAAATCATAAAAACAGACTGAAGCTGAAAAATCTAAATATATCTAATCATATATCTCCATCAGGAGTCCAAAAACGTCCTGTACACCAAAGCAATCCTCATATATCTGACATTTAACTGAATGATCTGAAGATATATTTTTAAATTGCACCACTATTCTCTAAAATTATAACAATTTTTCTTTTAAAACATATACATCTGTCGTATTATCACAAAACCTCATAATCCATCAATTTGCATCTTGTGAACAAGGCCAGAAAATAAAGCAAAGGGGAAGAAATGTATATTTCTTCAGATCAATTCTGAACTACTAGACAACTGTTGTCCATTTTTATTGCAACAACACATGAAACAGAGGCTACTGAACAGCATTTGCATCTGTTCTTAATAAGTCAAAATGGTATAACCAACGCATTCGAGATGAATTAAACTTTTTTCCATGAAATATAGCTTTTAGACTCATCGAGTTTAGTTGATTGTAAATAGACCAATTATGAACCAAAATCTCATCTTGCTAGTGAACAGTGCCAGGAGTCTAAATGATGCTACTGAGCATCTGTATGTTAATACACGATGCCACTGACCTAGTATATGTTTATACTGTGGAGCCATAAAACATCCACTCTATGCTAATTGACAAAAACAAAAAATTCTTAATGCTTCTAATATACATGCTTAAGTACTTGGGTAACATTCAGAGGCATGAATCCTAGAAGGTTAAATTTTACAACCCTTCTTTTAACTATAAAAATATAATTTTTAAGATGTCAACGAAATATTACCTACAAAAGCTGCCATCTGTGAAGCCGTGCGGCCAACAGAATTTGTTACATGACTTTTAGCACCAGCATGTAACAGTAACTGACATATTTCTGGATTTCCAGATAAAGCTGCAAAATGCAATGCAGTATATCTATGTTCATGTTTTCCCGAGTTAACGTCAGCACCCTAAAACAAGCAATTGAATACAGTTTATTTCCATTAAAAATAATTTTACAAATCTCACTAGTAACAATTGTCATTACCTGATCCAGCAACATCTGGACTATTTCCTTATTTCCTTTGTAAGCTGCATGTTGAAGGGGCGTCATTCCATTTTCATCGCAGAGATCGTGTTTAATATTTTCTTGTAGTAGTATGTTTTTAAGACCAGCTACATCATTATTGGCAATTTTTTCAAAAATATCTTTCTCCACACCTCCCTCGCCACTCCTAATAGGAGCCATCATTCTAGCTTACAGACTGCTTATACAGCCATGTACCAATCATATAGCAATAAAGCACCAAAGCACGTCAAGATGAAGACCAGGGCCCTATAACTCCCATATAACGTGGTGGAGACCATTACGGTGGCGCGCTCTGCTGCATCACCTTATTTACATGAACTAAAACACAAACTGTTGCCAACGATACTTTAAACGTGCGTGGCTACTGCGTGAGTTCTCGGGTCGCCAGCAGGCCCATAATGTTACAAAAGATAACGTCTATGTTCGCGCATTCTTCAGAGGTTTCTTATAAGTATAGATTATGAATAATAGTACATTTATAACACACTTTTCGTATTTCTCACAAATTAGCCAATTTGTATGTGGGAAAGTTGGCGAGCCTAACCTGCAGCTGCACCCGGCGACACTAGCGCTTCCTATAGTAGCAACCTCGAGCTTTGTCCCCAGTTTTGGTGGAGAGTTGCCGGGCCCTGATGAAGACGAGCTCTTTCAAGAGTGTAGTGACCAGTGAATTTGCATGAAGGAATCTAGGTAACACATATTTTAACTTGTACCATGGATTGAATTATATCTTCAATGGAACTAGATAAACTAACAAAATCGCCTTCAATACAATTTTATTATACCAATGGCTTAGAAATACATTCAATAGAATGCATGAACGACAACTGCCCACAGTTTTGTTAGGTTGCTCTTGTCATCACAGAAAACCCTACGACATGTGAGGACAGTACAAGACGGCTTAGTTGCGAAAACCTGATTTTAAGATGAAATGCGCTCTGTGATTATAAAGAAATGTTATAGAATAAGCATTTTTTCTTTCTCTACACTGCGTAAGCAGTAGCGAGAAAGTTATGTTATGCTGAGGAGAAAACTGCGAATTTTCGTTAGAAAAACATAGTGCCCAGGCAGTTATTGAAAAAGTGGATAAGTCCAGTTGTTTAAATATACGCTCTTAATGCCGGGACTGGTAACGAAAAGTTGGATAAATCCAGTTGCTAAATATAGGCTTGTATGGCCAGAATCCTTGTTTTGTGGGTCCTTGACGCTAAACAACGATTGACGGCAAAACGTCTGTCCGTATATCTGACAGTCTGAGAACTCCACTAGCGCATAAACCATACGTTCGATTTTTTCCTCAAAATGGATATTACGTGCCCCCCCCCTTACGTGCCAAATTTCGAAAAATATTA